CAAACTGTTTAACAGCTAATCCAACTGTCTTGGACAATGATCTAAAAGAAGTTTCTTAGTATTCTTAGCTGTATATTTCAGATCGTTATCCTGCTAAAACACTCAGTAATAACCTATGATAGAACTTGCATTATCAAAAAGATTTTTATTAAAAATTTCTCGATATAATGTACCATTTATAATTCCAGTAAAAAGAAAAAATCTAACGTGATCTTTTACTAAAAAAGCACTTACACATGGACTTTGTAGAGATACTTAATTATGAGTTTTTATGATAGTTATGTACCAGCCTTATAAAATATCTTTTGAGTATTTCTTAATATCTGAAGCGTGATTTCATTAGAAAAGATGACTTGATTTCAATTTTGTTTTCAATATTTCATGGCAAATTCAACACAGCATTATTTATGAAAAGTTGTAAGTAAAGAAATTATTTTGAGAATTGTGCTAATATAATTAAGACTGTGAAGTTCATTGAGTACAAACCTTTTGTTTATATTAAGGTTAAGATGTTTTTCATTTAAAATGTTTACCAGCTTAGAACAGGTAGAAAATTTGTTTGCTGAAACAAGTTTTTCAAGTTGATAACATTTTTTAAGAAAAAGTCATTTTAGCCTTCTTAGATAAGATAAAGGCTTTAAAAAAATATTTTTTTTGAATTTTCTTATATAGTAATATATTATAAGGAGTGGGATAAAAGTTAAAGTGTGTAAAATTTTAGCATTATAAGTACCATTTTCTTATAATGTGACTATCATTATATGATGTTGTGTAAAAATTCTATAGGCTATATTACTATAGGTAAAATATAATTAATCGTAAATAAATATGTAAACAAAAATGATCAGCATATATATATATATTTATTATATAACCAGGTAAAATTATTTGCTAAACAGATGTATATTGCAAGAATTATTAAAGATTTTAACTTATAATTTTTATTATAATTATTTTTTTCGCGTATTGTATATATAATCAACAGATTTCTTTTAAAATATTATCAAATATTTATAATGTATTATCAAAAACTTTAACAGATTTTTTAAAGGTTAATAAATTTAATAGATTAAGAATCAAAGAAATAATTAGATTAACATTTTTAGCTAAACAAATTAGATTAACAAAAAATAGAAAATTAGTGAGATTAAAAGATAATTGTTGTATTTATTATTAAGAATTCAAATATTTAAATAATAAGCTAATTGTTTAGCATAGATTTTTTTTATCATATAAGTATTTGAAAGTGATAAAAATGTTATGTAGGATATTAATAATATGTCTATAATTATTTTCAATTGATGCAATAGGACTAAATATAAATCTTCTTTTAGTAATATTATCCTTTAAAATATTTTATAAAACTTTTAATATTTTATAGTTTTTACCTTTATTTTTCTTATTAAATAAAGAAGAATAAGATATAATATTAATTAAAGTATAAATGCAAAATATTAACTGATTTGACTATTTTAATTAACAAGTTCATTAAGTTGAAATGCATAATTATATTTGTTATTTTCATTTTTGAATTACAAATCAATATCAAGAAATCTAGAAAATGATTTCATGATAATTTCTATGTAGTTTAATTTATTTAATCGTAATTCCTCTAAAATGAGAACTGATATAATGATTACAAAAATATGTGATAAAGAAGAATATCTAGTGTGATTAGATCTATTATAGTTAAGTTGATATTTGAGATCATCCTTTTTTAATAGAAGTTGTATATCATTTGAGAATCTTTCAAGAGTATAAATAGAGTCTTTGATCAATTGTGTATTAATATCAATGCTTTTAAACATATCATCTATCTGTATATCATATATAATATTATTATTTATTATTATTTTATACATATTAATTATTTAATAATTTGTATTGTGAGTCATTATTATTATAATTTGATTATATAATATTAATATTTTTTATTTATGCATAAATCATGTATTCAATTAAAATTTGAAAGTAATTATAAGATTATTTTTAACTATCAATAAATATTTTATGATGTGATTTAGATGTAAATTTATTTTATAATTTTAAAATTCAAATTTATAATAATTCAAAAATTTATTATAAATATAATTTTATACTTATTAATAAATTTAGATTTAAATAAAATATTAAATATAAAGTAATTCAATTTGTTTATTCTTTAGTCTTATATTTAATAATATTTTATATATATTTAGATGGTCTTTTAAAATTTAAAATTTATTTTTTTATTATATTATATTAGTATTTCAATTTTTTTCTATAAAATTTTGATAAAATTAAAGTATAGATATATTTTAATTATTTTTAAAATTTCTAAAAAAATAAAATTTAAATAATAAAAACTATTAAAAATTTTGAATTTAATAATTATAAAAGAAATTATTTATGTGAGTATTATATAGATTATATTATTTTTTTCATTTTATTTAAGATAAATTAATAATAAAATTATCTATAATATATAAATAAGTCAAATAATTATATATATGAGAACTTTGTAATAGAAAAAAAGAAAATTACTAAAAATTTTGTTAAATTATGTTAAAGCTAAACTTATTTTATTAAAAAAATCATATTTAATTCATTTTGGTAAATCTTTATTTTTTATTATAAAATATTATATGATCATTTGTTAATTAAATTATTATTTATAAAAAAAAATTCTTTTAGATAAAATATTAAAGATTTATTATAAAAAATCATAAATAAAATATCTTTTATATAATATATTAATTGAAAATTATTATTACTTTAAATTTAAATTATTATTAATAAGAATAATAATAATATTTTATTTATTCTATTATTTTTGATAATTATAAAATAGAATAATAATACTTTTCTAATATTATATTTATAGCATATTAATATATTCTTATTTTAATATTAGCTTAAGAATCCTATAAAATTTATTATATTTGATTTAATAATTATAAAAATCAATAAAAACAAATATAAAATTATGAGTAAATCAATAAAAACAAATATAAAATTATGAGTAATTCACAAAAATTATAAAAAAAAAAAAAAAAAAATCTGATAATTAAATAATAACTATTAATTCTAATAAACTATATAAACGCATTAAATAAACATAGATTAGAAAAAAGTATTTTCTTCAATATTTTTTTCTACTAATCTCTTTCTCCAAATAATGAAAATGAATCTCAATATACCTAAGTTTTTGCTTAAATAAATATACTATTACTGCCAGTCTGGAAAATTTTACAAAATCAATAATTGACACTATTCATATTTCATTTTTATAAAAATTAATTTAATTTTATTAACTTCATTCTTCATTGTATTTAAATATATAAATTTCGGCAAAGAATGACGCACATGCCAAAAATGAAAAAAAAATAATGATCCGACACGCTATAATAATCAAGTTTGAAAAAAAAAAAAATTCCGTTACATAAAAAAGATGATTCAATTTTAGCAGGGAAATTATTTTTTTGGAAATCGCATGATAAAGTGGTGGACCTATATTGCGCACACCATATAATAAATAAATTTGTTAATAATTTATTAATATCATGATCTGAATATATAATTTTATAAATTATTGAAATTTGCCCAAAAATCAGGATCAACTCACCAATATAATCAAGAGACAGAATTGCTGTCTTTCTCAACTTTTTTTTTTTTTTTTTCACGAAAAGGAATTCTACAAGAATTAACAGATCACACTTAGCTTCACTTTTTCTTGTCGATGTTGACTATGTCTGGATCAGAGTTATTAATCGTCGTTATTTATCTTGTTATTTTTTTTTTTTTCAACTTCTACACTTCCAGTTATATGATGTTTCATGAGGCCTAATTCAGATTCATTCACATAATAATTTTGACATATAACACAATATTTCTTTTTATCACGGGATCTAATTAAGGGTACCTAAAAACAGGAACGAACACCGTTAATTTATTACATAAATAAATTCTTTAAAAGTACGAAAAAAAAATTCTACAATTACACCATAACATGTAACATTTAAACAAATTTGATCGATTAGAGCCCATCCTTGTAATAAATGTTGAGCAATTAAATGTGAGGCACGCTGAGATTGATCACGTCGCATTTGAATCTCATCATATTGTGAAGGTGGCGGTATTGAATTTTGTTGAACTGAATCTACTTTATCATCATCATCATTAATTTCATTTACAATTGTAACTGGTGGTAAAATATTAGGTTGTTGCTTCGTTTCTGATTTTGAATTTCCAGGTTCTTTATCGCACAAAACGCAAAACCATACTGTATTATCTTTGGAACGTAATAACGGAACCTAAAATACCATAAATTATTTATTTAATTTATTTATGCGAGGTTGTTAAACAAAAAAAAAAAGGAGCAAAATAAACACATTGCAATTTTGTATAGGACAGACGGTATTAGTCATGACCTAAATTACGAAAAATAATAATACATTAGCATATATTTAATCTAATCACTATAGTATAAAGAAAAAAATAATTACCCAACCGGCTAAAAGGTATTTACCCATAAGGTTCGGAGCACGATCTATTTCAGTATCCATTAATGCAGAAAACTTAATAATCAATTTTGACTCGTCTTAATTGAGGGAGATAGATAATCTTTGATCTTCAAAAATCCGAATAGTTATTAAATAATTATGTAAAATAATCCGGTTACACGGATTCATGACACGTGAGTATATGTATTTAATCACGTGATTAAAGGTAACAATTCACAATTACCAAATTGATTTATAGAAATTTTCTGATCCAAAATTACCTTGATATCGTTAAAGGAATATATAGAATTTTATTATATTTATTTTCTCTTTTCTCTTCAAGATTCTTGAGGTTTAAGTAATAACAAAAGTTTGAGTTCAAGCTGTCATATATAGATCAGATCAAAATTCTTTGGATATCATACCTATAAATAATATGCTATTTTCACATTTATAAACTATATATACAGTATATTAAAAGAAATCAAAATTATCAAATTATTATTATATCTTGGCATTTTTTTTCCAAATAACAATTTCATTATCTTTTAAAAATAGAAGTTACTATCTATATGATCATGGCTAAACTAATCTTAATGATCGAATTTATGAAATTTTTTTTTTTTTGTTTGATCTTTAAAAAGAATGGTTGATTAATTGATTATAAAGATTTAAATTTTGTATTTTTTTTTTTAATGATTTCATATTCAATTTGAAAGATTTTATCAAGATTAATCTCAAATATCAAAAAAAAAAAATATAAAAAATATCAATAAAATAAAAAAAGGAAAAAAAAAAGATGACATCAACGTACATCAAAAACATGTGATTTTAAAAAGAAAAAAGAATTTATTTTTTATCTTTTTCATTGAATCCAAGTTTAGGTGATTTGTTGATAATGGTCAGAGCACACATGCGTAAATGTTTGAAAACGTTTTCACGTTATCAAAAAAAAAAAAAAATCTCCTTTTTTTTTGCTCAAAGATTTTTCAGATTAAAAAAATTTGTTTCGGAAGAACATGATCTCCTTTTTTTAACTATAAAAGTTAAATAAAACCGAGAATGAAGATGTACGCCCAAATCCCTGAAATCTAAAACAATAAATTGGATTGATTTTTTAAATATACTATTTGTTTATAGTAAACATTTAATATAAATAGATATGCATTCTTTTTTGGATGCGCACATTGCCTTTTTTTGTTACTTTTTAGTCTTCATATAAAGTGATTAACCAGTGATTTTGAAAAGAAAAAAAAAAAAATTAATTGTCGCGGTGGTGATACTGGTGATAACTCATGTGTTCAAATTTTTCGCGTGACATCATGATTTTTTTAAAGGTCGTCACTTGTCAGATTCTCCATCAAATCCTTACCAAAAGGGTAAGAAGGTAATCTAAATGTTTCAAATTTATTCAAGTGCATTTTCTAAAAATATCAACCACCACAAACGTTATTTCCATATACGCTTATGTGAGAAAATGCATCACATTTAAAATAAAATGCACATTTCCTGACTTTCGCGTTGGGAAACAATACATTGTAATCATGATAGTGGCCAAATTAATATTTTGGGAATCAAACAATGGAATTACTAATCATGTATCACACATTATATAAGTTTCTCTTGATGCAATGTTTTTAAAGTGACAAAATTTCCTTTATGATTCATATGATAGTTATGATGTTGAGACAAAGAAATCGCTGGAGGCGGCGATCATTTGTCGCTTGTGTGCATGCATTTTTATTTTGAAATCGCCCAACAAAAAAAAAATCAAAGTTGAATGATAAAGCAGGAAACTTAATAGGGGTTTGCATCAAAAGGAAAGAATAGTTGAATTAGGATTTTCCCCGTCCCACCCCGGAGAAACCTGTCGAATTTGCTGCGCCACTTTAATGATTCATGTGATGCCCTTCGACTTTTATTTCTTTATATCATGGATTACCGAATGGCGCATTTACACATAAGAAAGAAGACAATATTTAATAACATCAATTAGAATATTTCATAAAAAGAAAGGAGGACGCAAGACATTCGAACAAATTTTAACGATCGTCTTTTGTTAATAGATGATCACGGCTTATATTATCCAGATTTGTACTCAAAAATCCATTAAAGTATTAACAAGTCGTAGTGCTGACCAAAATTAACTAAAAAACCGCAGAATGAGTTATCACATGAGAAATTTTATGTCGCAGAAGAAAATCTTTACCGCGGCTTTTCCGAAAATTTCCCAAACGTTATTTATTGAATAGCATCCGTTCTTTTTTTTTTTTAAACAATTAATTTTCCCGAATATTCATTCATGTATTCAAAAAAAAAAAATTATTACTTTTAAAAAAATGCACAAATAACTTATTATCCCAGCTCATTCAATCCCATAGTAAATAATAAGGTGTCAGTAGACTTTGTGAAAAAAAAAAACTGATTATGCTAAAGAAATCTGCATGCACACAAGTGGGAAATAAAGAACAAAATGATCATCAATAAAAAATACGCCTTTTCATTTTTTCAAATAATTTATTTCTTTGTCTTTATTTCTTCCTAACTAAATATCTTCCTATCAAAGTACTTACAATAATGAGAAAAGGTTTGTGATACGATGTGTTACGATTATGTGTTTGACAGCTCATGACAGCGTCGTCGATCCTTCGGCGCAGTTATGGAGGATTTCAAATGTTCAAAGCGGTTTCTATTCAAATGAATATACCCTTTTTTCTACTGTAAGCATATTATTTTTTTTTTGAAAAAAAAAAAAAAAAAAAAAATTAAAATACACATGAAGAAGAAAAATTTTCAACGAAAGCGAACAATGTATCCTTTCTTAAATTCAAACATAATAAATAGAACAATGGAACTAAAAATTCTGTGTACGAAAATTGCTCCTAAACTGCCCGTTTCCTATTAAAGTTGAATAAAAAAAAAAAAAAACTCATATACCAAACTTTCTCGTTTTAATAACGTTAATGATTTTTTTTTTTTCTTTGTTTAGTCAGAACCATATGATTTAGATTCGAAAAATCTTTTTTTTCATTTGATACCATTCATCACTCCCGTGATGAATAAATATGTACTGCGGCAACATCATTTAAACATGGGCAATCTTTTATTATGGTTTGATGGATCAAGGACAAAGCGTAAAAATAAAGCGAATTTTCCCGGTTCATAAACAACGAGATCAATCATAGGGAAAGAGCAAGGTTCAGAGATCAAACACGACCAAATCACAGATTTTTATGTATAAACAAAAAGGCAGACGCCGGGTGTCTTTATTTGTTGTAGTTTTATATACTGTTTAACCATACGATGATATTTTGGGACTAACTGGTGACGATTTAACCATAGCACTAAGTGGGTTTAAGGCGGAACCATAAGCAATGATTTTGGCGTGCATCTAAGCTAATTAGGAATGACTTTGGGGTAAAAAAAAAATAATAATGATAATACAAAATAGCTTTATAGATATGCATAATTTGATAATTTGCCAGTTCCCATTGTCGAGAAGAAAAAAAATTATTGGGTTCAGCCTTAAAATATTCACGTGACGCAAACCTTAATGCCCTTTTTTATTGGCGCAGAAATCCTCTTCGATTTAGGAAGGAGGTACCGACATCGACATTACTTACCGATGCTTGTGAGCTCTGGCCACCCGAGAACTGACATCAAAATACATCATACTTTAACAATTATAATGTGAAAAAAAAAAATCTATCTTGATTCGGTAAAACTGGAATCTTAACAAGTTATTCGACAGTCTGTACGAGTCAGGTTTGTTTTAATAACAGATTGACACAATCGGTTGGAATACAATAGGGGCACACACGCACTTTGGAGAAAATAAGAAAACGTTTTGTTTTCAATTTATAAAGTTTAGTACCTCCGAGGTTTAGTTATTCCGATTCCATATTATGTGAATCACGATGTTTGACAAGCAACCTGCGAAACTCTTGTAATAATACCACATTCCTTTTTGGGTCTTAAACCTGTTATTGAAATTTTGGGATAATGAAATCTATTGTTTTATTCTTACGCCTTTAAAAAAATCTGTGTGTCGTTGTCATCCTGTATTTCTTGATGAAAAAAAAAAATTTTTTTTTCTTCAAAAAAAATTTTTTAAAGGTTTAAATTATTTTTTTTTTCCATCAAAAAAAAAAAAAATTTTTTTTAAGGTATATATTATTTTCCATCAAAAAAAAAAAAAACATGTGAGATCTCAAGAGCAGTAACTGTTTAAGGAAATGGATATTCATATATCAAAAAAATCAATTGTGATTGACCTGCATAAATGAAAAAAAAAAAAAAATAAATTTTTTTATGAATTTTATTTTGATAGGAAATCCAAAAGTTGATTAAAATGAACTGAGGAACTTTAACAATATAATCAGGTATAATACGAAATAGTGTGGGGTACATAAGTTTTTTTGATTACTCACCATCCTAACCGATTTGTGGGTAACATACTGTATATATATTTTTTTTTTTTTTTAAAAAAAAAAATCTCATCAAATAAAATTTTTTTTTTTCCTTAAAAAAAATCACAAGTTTTTTTCAAACTCATTGTCTCTAATTCAGTCATCTCATGCAAGCGGAAGCAACATTACAAATGATATGAAAGGTTAGGGTTATTTTTAGCTTTAATCTGACATGATTTTTTTTTTCTTTGCGTTTGTTACGAGATCTATTTTTACAAAAAAATGCGGGTTTCTTTTTTATTCTAATCAGAAAGAAAATCCGGAGAAAGCCTCTGTTTATTCAATGACGACGGCAGGATTCATGTTTTATTGTTGTGACCTTCAACTAACAAAAACATTGTGGAGTGAAGAATTGTTTATTGCGGAGAAATGTCGTTAGCTCGCTAATAAAGTTTAGGTGTGTTTAGGTTTCCACACATCACTAGATCTCGACCGCAGCAAACCTAATCACGTGAATCATTTATTTATATGGATCAAATTTAAAGTTTGTTAATATTAACTTTAAAGTGAAATTCTGAATGCAAATAGAAGAAAGAAGAAAATGATTGTGTAAAAATCTATTGTTCTTGCTCGCAGCATTCGTTGATTTAAAAA